TATATATACACATACACACACACACACACACACATAGATATACATATACAATTTTTAGTTTCAAAGGTCGGTAACAGTCAAGCAGCATTATAAAATTCTGCAATAACTAATAAAATAGTGATAAACTATTTCATGTTTTCAGATACCATGGTTTTACCGTCTGTTACTTGTCTGCAAACACACAATCCTGCAGCAGAAGCACAGAAGCACCGGCCGCATGCAGCCTGCAGCTCGACTCCTGCTGGAGGAGGATGCTGGGATAGCAGAGGTCACACAGGACACATATGCATTGAGCAGCTGGTAACACGCGGGAAACACAGCGCCACGACACCGTCAGCAGGTGAACGTCTTCTCACACACTCGCTGGAAAATTAATTTTACCCACCGAAAGCCACCATACGGCCGAATTACAGCTCTTTAATCTTTATTGATCACCGCATGGAGTCTGTTTGCATTAGAAAACACACAGCATTTTGTTACTCCTAAAAAATTAGTCTATTAAACAAAAGCAGATAAACACACCTATTATTACAAAACATAATGTTATCTTCATATTATATAACTACATCGTTACATCTCTACATCTCTGTTTTGAAGAGGTTCTTTTTCAGGTAAAAGTGGGTGGTTTGCTATATGCATTTATCTGATTAAAAATACAGTAAAAACAGTAAAATAGTGAAATATTATTACAATTCAAAATAGACGCTTTCTGTGTGAATATCTGTTAAACTGTAATTTATTTCTGTGATCAAAGCTGTATTTTCAGCATCATTACTTCAGTCTTCAGTGTCACATGATCTTCAGAAATCAGTATAATATGCCATTTTACTACTTAATTATGGTTAATTATTCAAACTTTTCCACAAAACATGGTTTCCACAAAAATATTGGGCAACACAACTGTTTTCAACATTGATAATAATCAGAAATGTTTCTTGAGCAGCAAATCAGCATATTAGAATGATTTCTGAAGATCATGTGACACTGAAGACTGGAGTAATGATGCTGAAAATACAGCTTTGATCACAGAAATAAATTACAGTTTAACAGATATTCACACAGACAACAGCTATTTTGAATTGTAATAATATTTCACAATTTTTACTGTATATACAAACATAAAAAGGTTTCATCACATCACTAGCAGCATTATTTCTAGTAATGATGGACTGAACTTTACTAATAAGCTGAAATCCAATGCAGTGCTGCCACCTAATGTCCACTAACAGAACTGCAGCAGTCTTTCAGCCTGTGGCCAACAGTGAAGGTGCATTAAAGTGAATAGAGGCATTAATATATAATCAGCACTCCGGTTTCTCTCCTCGTCACATCTCTACATTACACAGAGCTTTGATTGAAACACATTTCATTTCTTCAGAGTCCAGTGTGTCGTTCAGTTTTGTGGGCTCCTGAGGATAAATGTGACGATAAAAAATGGATAAAGAAACTGAATGAGAGAGAAATACAGAAAGAGGGATGTGTGGCCAGAAGGTGCAATCATATCTATTATTTATCTCTAATAAATAAATATCAGAAAAGTCCAGATCTCCTGTCATAGATGGGTGTTGTGTGTCAGTGCCTGACGGCTCTATAAAGGTTTGTGGGACGAAAGATCTCATACACAAAAGCTCATCAATCTTTTCAAATGACTGAACGACCCTGAGCTTCATTAGTGCTGCTTTAAGGTTTTCTGTGTGGTGACGGACATACAGATACAGCTCCATCCGCTTGAATGGGGAAAGACAGAAAATTACATTTTAAAAACATCTTTTACATGTGCAATGAATTCTAACCAGTAAAACCTAGCATTTTCTGGATGATCCAGACAACAGCAGCTAAATAAGAGTACTAGTCTTCACATGAGACTAACTTTAGCAGAGATCACTGTATTTATGCGCACTTCATATACAGTGGGTACGGAAAGTATTCAGACCCCCTTAAATTTTTCACTCTTTGTTATATTGCAGCCATTTGCTAAAATCATTTAAGTTAATTTTTTTCCTCATTAATGTACACACAGCACACAATATTGACAGAAAAACACAGAATTGTTGACATCTTTGCAGATTTATTAAAAAAGAAAAACTGAAAAATGCTCAGTATTTAGTAGAAGCACCCTTTTGATCTAATACAGCCATGAGTCTTTTTGGGAAAGATGCAACAAGTTTTTCACACATGGATTTGGGGATCCTCTGCCATTCCTCCTTGCAAATCCTCTCCAGTTCTGTCAGGTTGGACGGTAAACGTTGGTGGACAGCCATTTTTAGGTCTCTCCAGAGATGCTCAACTGGGTTTAAGTCATACTACTACAACTAATAATAATAATAATTATTATTATAATTATTAAATACACTACTGTGCAAAAGTCTTGCAATAAATCATATAATAAATAAGTCTTGTAATAATCCAATTTATGATCTAAATTATGAGATTTATGAGAAAAACGATGCACAAGTTCACAGAGGACAAAAGCTGTTTTAAACGCAAAGGGTGCTCACACCGAATGTTGATTTGATTTAGTTAATACAAGTAAATGTTACGCCCCTCACCAGGTTCAGGAAGCTTTCCTCCGTAAAATGCGCTGCACACACTCATTATTTGGGTTGAAGTGTTCTGGAACAGTGTTGTAAATAAAACTTAACCACTGATTTCTAGTTGTGTCCTCTTTTGGAAGACCAAACAAAGTAGTTTCGCTTTCACAACGAAACACACAGCGTCTTCACGACATGGCGGCGGCAACAACAATACTACAGCGAGAATAAAAGTCACGACTTCTTTCTTTGCGTGAAATTTGGGCGGCGTTATGCAAATCTTCCCACATCGTGACGTAGTCATGTGAGGGCGTGTTAGAACGAGCCGTTTTAGGTAGGTGTGGACCAGTCTTAACTTTTATAAAGAATATCTCTTTGGGTTTGAAACTTTAATCTTTGCGACTTAACGGATCTTCTGTTTGCACAAACAGCTTTTAACTCTCCAAAGACAGGAAAAAATGAAATTCCATCATATGACCCCGTTAATGAAATCTTTGAGGAACTCTAATTGTCACGAATCCGTCACTACAAAACTCAACCACTAAACCATCAGTTAACGCAGTGGTTCCCAAACGGGGGGCTCGGAGCTATGACAAGAGGGGCGCGGCAAGCCTGAGGAATAGTGTAAAGTCAGCAGATTATTTTGCAAAATAAACCTCTGCAGGGTGATAAAGACTACACTGCGTAATTTCCACGCTTATCATGCAGCCACTTGCCTGATAAGTAAACAATTGAATGCAAAATATTATTTTGACATTTTAATTACCTCAATATGACTCGTAGTACCCGCTTGAGAGCTCCGTTATCAGTTGTAGCAGTTGTGGTTGTATCAATAACAGACCACTAGATGGCGCCATTGAAGAATCAGAGTTGTATTGCAGGGAGCCATGTAGAAATATAAATGAACGATGCATAGTTCTGCTTTAAGCATGTAAGTTACAAGTTTGTGAAAATACTGCCAGAGCCAGGTACATAAAGCAGATGATGAACATGCTTAAGATTCACAAATACCAAAACAACAAGTCTAGCAAATAGAACCCAGTGATGTTCTGGATGCGGCGCAATGCGACACGACAAATCCATGACAGTAAAAACTGATGCCGTTTTATTTCTGACGAACTCCAGCGCTCTGACACAAAGGACAGTTGGGTTTGCAATGTTCACTTTGTCACGTCCAGTGTGGTGAAAAGACAAGGAAATATGACTAAGCATATGCCCTCAGATTCACCAGTACAAAGGTGGGTAATGAAGCTGAACATGTTACGATTTTATGTCCTGAAAACATTTTTCTCTACAAAAGGGGGGTCCGGCAGAAAAAGTTTGGGAACCACTGAGTTAACATAAGCCGTTTCAACAGTCAGAGTTCAGGAAGAAAAGAAAACAGAGGAAAGAAGAAACACGTCAGATGCAGAGAGACGAAAGAAAAGCTTTATTGGAAGATTCAGAGAGAAACACTGGAGCATCAGAGCCGTGAACTCAAGTACAGACAGAGAAGAACATACAGAAGAAACAGAGCTGCTTAAAGTCATGCAAAGAAAAACAGACCATCATACAGATCTAACATCCTTCAGACAAAACACGCCCCACAAACCCTGACGACTCTCACACACATTCAACATAGACACACTTCCTCGGGTCACATGACCGTCACTCTGTGATTGACAGGTGTGGGTGGGTCTACTGGGTCACATGACCGTCACTCTGTGATTGACAGGTGTGGGCGGGTCTACTGCACGTTAAGCACACGGGCCGAGACCCCATGATGCCAGTCTCTCAGCTTGTTGTACTGAGGCCGGACCAGCTCTGGGTCCACTCTGGTCACCCTGATGGCCCGACGGCACAGAGAGAGACAGGACAGACGGGAGATGAAGAGGAATAAACTGATTAATGCTCCGCAGGGAATGAGTAATGAACCTCAGCACAAACACACAAGGTGTTGAAAACAGCTATTAAAATATTAAACGCTTCTAAGATGAAGTTGAGAAATTTGCCAGAAGATTTCCATGAAGCTAAATGTTCTAGTATTAGACCAACATAGTGATCAGGACTAATAATTTGCTGATATTTGGCCTTTTAAAGACTGTCAGCTGATAACTGTGCCTGATTGACCAATCAAACACAGTTCCAGCAGCTGTCAACAGATGAACATTTTGCAGTTTCAGGATTATGTTTGAGTAAATCCTTGAAGTCACAATTTCTGAATGAATCCACGTTTTTGAACGAATCGAGTGAAACAATGATTCAATGACCCATTCATTAAGAGAGCCCTTTACTTCATTCCTGAATCAATCAGCTGTTTGAACGAATCAAATGAATGAATGAACGAACGACTCAATGACTTATTCATTAAGACATTTGCTGCCACCTACTGGCAGTTTTAGTTTCTTATTTAGTGTATCATTTCATTAAAAAATAATTTCATATTTGAAATCTGAAAATAAAAAAAAATCCATATTAATAAAGAACTAATTAAAGGAATAGTTCACCCAAAAATGAAAAAGAAAAAAAAAAAGAAACTTTTCTTTCTAAAGCTACTGTAACACCTATTTCATGATTTTCTCGTAACAATAATGGCTTTAAATTATCTTTTGTGGGTGATTTCGCAGCCAAATTTGATGTGTGATTAATATATGATTAATTAGATAGTGTAATTTTAATCGATTGACAGCCCTAAATATAATATATATTTTATAATTCATTTTTATTTAATATAATATTTGTACACAATTGATATTATTTTAAATATTATTTCAGCCACATTTCGATATCAGCACTTCCATTTCAGTTAGCATGCTGCCAACATAAACATTTTCTAGATTCTAGTAATTTATCTGATTATTTATAAATTGCATATAAAATTTTACAATAATATATAAAATTTTATTTGTATTTAATAAATATTTCTAACCAATTTATATTATTTTAAATTATAGAACACTATATTATTTTAATTTATTTCGGTATCATGCCTGTTTCATTTGAGTTAGGATGTCAAGGCAGCTCACTAGATTTTGAAACACAACATGTTCATAAAACAGCCCTGATTACCCACAATCCCATTTAATTACTAACAATCCCCTTCAGTGGGAGGATGGTTTGAGCACAGAAGATTATGAACAATCAGACAGAGGAACATCAGATAAGATGATCTGAACACACTCACACTCACACCAGCAGAACTTACTTCTTTCCAGGCCGGTTCTCCTGAGCTTGCTCTAGAGGAGAGAAGCAAGAAACACTTAACAGTTCTGTTGTAAACCTTTTGAAAGTATAAAGAAGGCCTGACTGAGCGGTCCGTACCGTTCTCTGTGCCGGTGATCTGCGCCAGGATGCGGAAGGAGCGTGACTGAGACGTGCCGGTGCGCGGGTGCCAGTCCTCCGTGTCCTCCATCAGACGCTTCTTACTGGAGTCACTCAGAGCAGAGACGTGGTTCACCTCCGGCTCCAGGACGGGCTTCCGGGTGGTTCTGATGCACACACACACACCAAACATTATCATCATACAAACAATCACACACACACACACACCAAACATTATCATCATACAAACAATCACACACACACACACACCAAACATTATCATCATACAAACATCATTAAACAATCACACACACACACCAAACATTATCATCATACAAACATT